GAGGACTCGACGGGCCAGGGCCACCCCGCCTCTGCACAGAGCCTGCCCCACAGGTCCAAGGTGGGAGCCAAGGCCCCTGGGAGCTGCCTCAACGGGGCTCCCGCAAACCCCAACCCCATCGTGCAGCGACTCCCGGCCTTTCTGGATAACCACAACTACGCCAAGTCGCCCATGCAGGTACGCGAGGCTGGGCCGGCTCCCCGCCGGGGCGGCAGGCCAGGGCGGGGCAGTGACCCGGGCTCTCCGTCCGGGGGAATAGCACTTGGGAACCCTTTCTCCCCTCTGGCTCCAGCCGAGGGGTCCTAGGGCCATTGGCCCGTACCAGCAGCAGAGCAGGCTGTACACACCGAGAGGAGCCCATGCTAATGGAGGGGGTGCTCAGCGGAGCTGTTAAGGCTCCCTTGTGGCCCCGGCGGCCGCGTGGCTGGGTGCTGGCTTACGTGGCCAGTAGAAACCAGCCAGGTACCCCCACTACGTCACAGTTTCCCCCGGGTGCTGTGGGCAAATGAAAGCCGCAGCACGGGTCTTTGGTCCCAAGCCTCAGTGGATTCATGTTCGGCTGCACCTGGTAGTGCCCAGGGCAAGTCTGGGCTGCATGCAGGGGTGGTCTGCCTGCCCCAGAAAGGGGCCCCCAGGCTGCAGCCCTGCCGGCCTGAGGCCAGTGTTGAAGTGTCCAAGGAGGGCTGGCTGCGTGCGGCCCCAGCAGTAGTAAGCGGGTGTGTGTTGCAGGAGGAGGAGGACCTGGCCGCAGGGGTGGGCCGGAGCCGGGTTCCCGTTCACCAGCACTACTCCGATGACGAGGACGACTACGACGACGAGGAGGAGGAAGTTTGTAGCGCTGCCGCGGCCATCAGGTAAGGGATGCAGCCAAGAGCCCAGGTTGCCGGGAACGTGCGGCCCGGCTTTCGCTGCCGCATGACGCTCACCCAGCAGGGGGCGAATCCCCCCTCCCTCCCCGGCCTGCCAGCTCTGAGTGAGGCAGGAGGCATCGAGGGAACCGTTTCAGCAGCTTGGGACCATATGGGATGAGAGGGAAGGTCCTATCTTGGATTGAGAACTGGTTAAAAGACAGGAAACAAAGGGTAGGAATAAATGGTAAATTTTCAGATTGGAGAGGGTGTACCCCAAGGGTCAGTCCTGGGACCAATCCTTTTCAACTTATTCATAAATGATCTGAAGAAAGGGGTAAGCAGTGAGGTAGTAAAGTTTGCAGATGATACCAAGCTGTTGAGGATAGTCAAGACAGAAGCAGACTGTGAGGGACTCCAAGAAGTTCTCACCAAACTGAGTGATTGGGCAACAAACTGGCAAATGAAATTTAATGTGGATAAGTGTAAAGTAATGCACATCGGGAAAAATAACCCCAACTATACGTACAGTATGATGGGGGCTAATTTGGCTGTGACAAATCAGGAAAGAGATCTTGGAGTTATCGTGGACAGTTCTCTGAAAACTTCCACACAGTGTGCAGCGGCGGTCAAAAAGGCAAATAGGATGCTAGGAATTATTAGGAAAGGGATAGAAAATAAGACCCAGAACATCTTACTGCCCCTGTATAAAACTATGGTACGCCCACATCTTGAATACTGTGTACAGATGTGGTCTCCTCACCTCAAAAAAGATATTTTGGCCTTGGAAAGGGTTCAGAAAAGGGCAACTAAAATGATTAGGGATTTGGAACGGGTCCCATATGAGGAGAGGCTAAAGAGACTGGGACTTTTCAGTTTAGAAAAAAGGAGACTGAGGGGGGATATGATAGAGGTCTATAAAATCATGAGTGGTGTGGAGAGGGCTGATAAAGAAAAGTTATTTATTAGTTCCCATAATAGAAGAACTAGAGGACACCAAATGAAATTAATGGGTAGCAGGTTTAAAACTAATAAAAGAAAGTTCTTCTTCACACAGCGTGTAGTCAACCTGTGGAACTCCTTGCCAGAGGAGGCGGTGAAGGCTAGGACTATAATAGAGTTTAAAGAGAAGCTAGATAATTTCATGGAGGTTAGGTCCATAAAAGGCTATTAGCCAGGGGATAAAATGGTGTCCTTGGCCTCTGTTTGTGTCCCTGGCCTCTGTTTGTCAGAGGCTGGAGAGGGATGGCAGGAGACAAATTGCTTGATCATTGTCTTTGGTCCACCCCCTCCGGGGCTCTTGGTGCTGGCCACTGTTGGCAGACAGGATACTGGGCTAGATGGACCTTTGGTCTGACCCAGGACGGCCGTTCTTATGTTCTTATCTTATGACCCACGGCTCCAGCCGAGCGGGGCCACGTGTGCTGGCTGGGAGCAAGAGGCAGCCCTGGTGGCCAGGGGGCTGGCGAAAGAAGCTTCACAGCTTCCAGCCCTGCTCACCCGCCCCGTGCCGGGCCTCGGCCCAGGGGCCTGCCCGTCGGGGTGGGAGCCCCAGGGCTGCCAGAAAGGCCCCCGAGAACTTGGCGATAAGGCAAGTGCCCCGGCTTAGAGGGCGGCTTCGAAATCTTTGCTTCCCCCGCCTGCGAAATCCCCGGTGGTTCTGGCAGGCACCGGGAGGCTCCGTCCCGGAGGTTGGGGGGCTCCGAACTCCCCCGAGCCGCGGGGCAGAAGTAGCATTCGCTGGTGGAAAGGGCTTGCGAGCTCCGCCCCGTGGACGCTGCTAGAGGGCTGGGTCGTAGTGCCGCCTTCCTGGACAGTGAAGGGGAAACTCTGGTCTCGTCGGTGCCTAGACCAGCGGGAGGGGGGAGGCGGGGGCGGTCTGCTGGACAAGCACTGGCTCC